CTCGGATTCTCCAGCATCTGCAGTTCCTACTATCTCTGATAACATTTAATAAGCATTTGGACGAATACATGGATAGGAAAGATTCAGAAGGATATGGGCCAAGTGCAGGGAAATGGGGTTAGCGTGGATGGACATTTTGGTCGGCATGGACCAGTTTGGGCTGAAGGGCCTGTCTCCATGCTGTAGGACTCTATGACACTATAATGTCTTTTGGCGATCAAGTGTAGTGTGTCAAAGTTTGCATTTGGCACTAAAATGAGTGCAGAAGGCAATGAAAATCTGCAGAGAGCTATAGATAGGTTAAGTGAGTGGGAAGGGTCTGGCAGATGGAATACAATGTTAGTAAATGTGAGGTCATCCGTTTGGGTAGGAATAACAGCAAAATGAACTACTATTTAAATGCTGAAAAATTGTAGCATGTTGCTGTGCAGAGAGGCCTAGATTTCCTTGTGCATGAATCACAAAAAGTTGGTTTGCAGGTGCTACAGGTAATTAAGAAGGCAAATGGAATATTGTCCTTCATTGCTGGAGGGATGGAGTTTAAAAATAGGGAGGTTATCCTGCAGCTGTATAGGGTGCTGGTGAGACCACACCTAGAGTACTGAGTACAGTTTTGGTCTCCTGACTTGAGAAAGGATGTACTGCCACTGAAGGCGGTGCAGAAGAGGTTCGGTAGATTGATTCTGGAATTGAGAAGGTTGCTTTATGATGAGAGATTGAGTAGACTGGGACTGTAATCACTGGAATTTAGAAGACCAAAGGGGGGATCTTATATAAACAATCAAAATGATGAAGGGAATAGATAGGATAGAAACAGGGACGTTGTTTCCACTGGGGGTGAAACTAGAACTTGGGGGCATAGCCTCAAAATTAGGGGGAGCAGATTTAGGACTGAGTTGAGGAGGAACTTCTTCACCCAAAGGATTGTGAATCTGTGGAATTCCCTGCACAGTGGAGCAGTTGAAGCTATCTTGTTCAATGTTTTTAAGGCGAAGATAGATAGATTTTTGAACAATAAAGGAATTAAGGGTATGGTGACCAGGCAGGTGTGGAGCTGAGTCCATGAAAAGATCAGGCATGATCTTATTGAATGGTGGAGCAGGCTCAATGGGCCAGAAGGCCTATTCCTGCTCCTATTTCTTATGTTCTTATTCAGACAGAAAGAACAAGTACACACACTGCACCCATGTCAACTCAGCAAAATAGGTGACAGCCATTCTCTGGTTCATGTCTGGGTGCAATGCTTTGACGAATCACAGTCAAACTGTGTATTTTAAAATAAATTTTAAACAAATCGTTGCAGTTAACTGTGTCACGATTCAATGGGGATGGCATGCCAGAACTCAAGTCCCACTATTTCCAGAGTTGCCGCAAATGTGAAAATTTAATGAAACTATTGGATTGTCCAATTTGTCTCTGAATGATTGCCACCCAAGACAAAAGCAAACCACAAGAGGTTTCTTCACTAACAGTAAAAATAACTATTTATTGTAACATACTTAAATTTAACAAAAACACTTAAAAAATGATTTATAATTAAAGTAACTTAAACTTTACCCCTTTAAAATTTCCACAGACACAAAGAGAAGCAGACAAAACACAAATATTGAGTGGAGGGAAAACTGTGATCAGTACAAGACAGTTCTGTAGCAAATGTCCAATTCATAAAACCAGATGGGCTGGTTTCACAATTCTTCTGATTCTTCAGTTATGGCACAATGGGCACTGTTTAGTCCACTAGTTGATTCGTTGGACATGGACCTTTCTTTTCTCTTTGGAATCAGAATTATATCTTTCAGCATTTCTGAATGTATTTCTTTTGCTCTTTCAACCAAAAATTGGAAAGAGCCACTTTACAGAGAAAGGGGAGACAGAGATTTATCCAGCCAATTTTTGAAGGTCTCTCTGCTTCTCTCTTTTCATTCTCCTCACACAATCTGTATTGAGGTAAACCCTGACCATTCAGAGGGCTTTTACTATGCTGAGCCCTCTTGATCCCACAATAAGTGGTGGTAACTCATCTGAACTGAATGTTACCAAAAGATAGCAATGTCTCATGGTCTCTCAGTGAGCTTCACTTGCTTCTGCCCAGCTGCAAACACCTATTTGTATAATTTGCCATTTATTAAAGGCAGCTTCCATTTTTTCTTATTTTCATTTCCCAGTCCAAAATGAAAGAAGATGTGGCTTCTTACAACTATTAGTCATCATTAACTGGTGTAGTCTCCATGGCAATGCCTCTACCAATCAAACTGAATTGCTAACCAATCCACATTCTCCCCTCATACAATATAAAGGTTGTTTTCCCTTCACTTTAGTAATTTTTGTGAATTTTGCTGATGAGGGTAATATGACCAGCTTTTAGAAAATATGTCTCATATACTTACAGCTGGTAGAGCAAAGAAAGAGACTCCTAATAGTGCAAATCCTGCTGCCAACATTCGACCAAGCCATGTTTGTGGAGTTTTATCACCGTAGCCAATTGTTGTTAGTGTAACCTGCAAAATTAGAGAAGATTTTTAAAATTGAGTTTTTCAACTAATTTTAAATCTATTTTTTCACCCCGAGTAGTCCGATCATTTTAACCAGGCAGACAGCAGCCAGATTTCTGCTGAGTAGAGTAAAACAACAATGGAATTCTGTTGGCACAGCATAAGATCGAAGAAACCAAACCAAACTGAACAAATCCAAGCAAATGTGCAGCAAGATGTTGCTTTACTCACTTGTATTATCTTAAGAATTGGATATTTGAAAATTGAGCAGCCTCTTAGAGGCTTCGAACAGGGTAACTGATAATTATTTGGATAAAAGTACTGTGCAAGGTGATGGTGAAAAGCAAGAGATTGGCAGTCAGTATTGATGCTTATTTGCAGAGCCAGTGCAGGCACAATGGGCTGAATGGCTCCATCTGCACCCATATCACCTCTGTGATTAAAACAAAACTCCAAATCCATTGTTAAATTTAAACTTTAATCAATGGTTAATAGATTGCTGATAGAGAAGAAAGGTGAGAAAACCTGGAGATACTAGGAATGCTGGTCAGAGTGGGACAGGCGAATCACTTAAAATAGTGGGATGAAGAAGTTAGAGATAAGAAAAGCTTTCTTCACACAAGGCTGTGCGATGTACTCTCTGAAGAATGGAAAAATATGTCCTGTACTCAGATGTTTAACTTGTAATTAAACAGAGGTACTGTGTATGTTTGGGAGGTAAACAAATTGCTTCAGAAAAAACATAAAATGCTAATCGCTGATCTGAAGAAAAATATTAAGATAAAAAAAATTTAGACAAAAAAGCCTCAGCTATCAATGGTTTTACATTGCCATGTATAAGGAGAGTGCTAGTTATTTTACATTGACAGAAATGCCTACTCAGGGAGGTTTAATTGATAGCAGGTTTGTCGAAATAGTTATTCAGATGGCTACTGTTGAACCACATCTTATTGAAAATGAAGCATCCAGTTGTGATGTAAACTATGGGATTTGCGTGTGTAATTTTTAATGTTATTTGGTGTGAGTTTGGATTTCTGGTTATGAGTCAGGAACTTGTAAGGATTTTTGAAATTATTGTGACTATATGTGCCTTTAAGAGGGATGTGTCTGTCCTGGTTCTCTTGAAGGTGAGTGTTGCAAATCTGGTACTGAGGTGTCTGCACCATGGAAAGCAAAGTAAATAGCTTTGGCTGTTTGTTAAAGTAGACAAAAGAAGCATGAGTGGGTGGACTTAGGCTCACACAGACCTAAATTTTAAGTTTTGCTTTCAGTTGTATAAATTGGGTTTTGAAGCTACTTAACACAGCTCTCCCTCTGCTGCTAGATTCTTTCTGTCAGTGCTCCTTTTCCTGGACTGGAAGAGATACCAAGTGGAGGAAATTTGTTTTGCTGAATTTGCCTTTACCTTTTCTGATGAAGGGTCTAGGCCCGAAACGTCAGCCTTTCTGCTGCTATGATGCTGCTTGGCCTGCTGTGTTCATCCAGCTCTGCACCTTGTTGTCTCTTGCCTTTACCAAGGATGTGTTTATGGGATGCTGCTATATTGGAACAGTTGACGAGTATTAATTGAAGTATATATTATTTTGTTAAGTATTTTATTGAGTTTAAGTTATGTCAATTCTTTTTTTGTTTGTATTTTAACTGTGGTGTGAGAATAAAGTATGTTTTGCTTAAAGTCTAGTAGTTTGACCAATCAAATCACAGCTGGAATGCAGCCCCTTAATTTTGCAAGTAAATGAGATAAACGTTAGGGTCTAGGCTATCTCCTTGATGTGTTCTGAAGTGGTTTGGTCTGGTCCATTACAAATTGGGGGCTCTTGTCAGGATCAAAATCTCTAATTCCAGATTGGGTTTGGGATTATTGGACTCAAAGATGGTGAGTGATGAGTGTTGATGTTCTCTTTTTGTGTGTTGCATTTGGATGGTTTAATTACGATTATAACAATGGCTCTTTCCATAGCTTAGAGCTTCTAGGGTATGAAAGGAGCCACCTGGGGATGGTTTACAGAAGGTGAATACAGAAGGCAAATCTTTTGGAATTGGCAGACAAGCTAGAGTGGGAATTACGTTTGTTGGTGAAGAAAGGGCAGATAATTGCAGCAATAACTGAGCATTGACAATTATCATGAACGCAATCAGAATCATTAGAAATGGCTAAATTCAATTGCAATTAAACTGCTTGAATATGAAAAGGAAGTGAAACAGTTTCATTACAATCAAAAGTAGAAGAAAAAGAAAGAATAGCCCAAGCAGAAGAAAGGGAAAAAGTGACAGAAGAAAAGGAGGAAGAGACAACTTTCAAAATTCAGAAGCTGAAACTGAAAAATGAAAGTTGATTTAAAATGACGGAGGTAGCGGTAAAAAATTAAAAATAAGGTGATGCTGGAAACAAACCAAATGACTGGAATAACATGACAGGTACAAGAGTAGCATGTTGAGAGTCTAACCAAAGTAATAAGTAATCCAAAACTGTACAAACTAACTTGGTTTATCTCCAGCACCACGTTATTTTTAATTTTTTGTAATTATCTCTCTTCCTCATTTAATTGGATTACATGTCATCTTTTTGCTTGTTATTCAGCTATTGACACTTTAGTCACACCGTCAAACACTTCAGATCACCTGCAGAGACTTATTATTTGACACTCCACTCACACCATTTGTATGGTCTTTTGATCTCTCTGCCCTTGATCTCTCTCTGCCTATAAATTCTGTGTTCTGTGTTTCTCTCTCACTTCGTCTGACAAAGGAGCTGCGCTCTGAAAGCTTGTGGTTTCAAATAAATTTGTTGATTATAACCTGCTGTCATGTGACTTCTGACTTTGTCCACCCCAATCCAACACTAGCACCTCCACATTTGTTTAATACATCCAAGCTTTACCAAGGTCGATGATAAGGATGTAGAAGCCATTTTTATTTCATTTAAGAAAGTGGCTAAACAAATGAAATGATCACTGGCTTGCGGGCATGGTTGATTCAATCGAATTTGGTAGGTAGAGCTCGTGAGGTGTTTGCATCACAATAAGAGGACAATGTTTTAGGAATCTAAGGAGGGGCCTGGTCAAACGTACATCGAGTTTGAAAAGATCAAAGAAAGTAACTTTTATAGGTGGATAGGGGCATTGAAAATCGATCGAACATATGACTCTCTTAGAGAAACTGTTAATTTGGTGGAGTTCATAAATTCATTTCCTGAAGTAGTGAGAACTCATGGAAGAGCAGAGAGTTAAAATTGCAAGATTAGCAGCTGAAACAGCAGATGATTATGAGTTAGTTCATAAATCAAAGTTTGGCTTCTGACATCAATTTCAATTGAAGTTGGGGAAAAGAGAAATCCTCATGTAGTACGGGAAAAGGAAATCTCATTGAAGATAGTAAAGCTAGTTTACCACAGGTTAAAAAGGAAAGCTATGACGGGGAAAGAGAAGTAAAAAACCTTAGTTATTTTCACTATACTAAAGTAGGACAAATGAAGTCGCTGTGTTGGTGGTTTAAAAGAAAAGTACTGGGAGGATGGATGTGGGAAAACAAGATAAGCAAAGGAACAAAAAAAACAGAAGTTTCTGGAAAAGCTCAGCAGGTCTGGTAGCATCTGTGAAAAAAAAATCAGAGTTAATGTTTCGGGTCCAGTGACCCTTCCTCAGAAGTATTAAGATAAGCAAAGAGTATTGTTAAAGAGGTAAAGAAAAGCTCAGGGGAAGCAAAAGACCTGCCAAAGAATCTGCAGCCTGGTCAGGGGTTGATTGGTAAGAAAGTGCCAGATCTCTTAAGAATTTACTTAGATGGGTATGGTTTGCTCATGCGTACCAGGAGGAGCAGGTAAAGAAATTAATATTTTAAGAGATGTGGGAACATGAGGAAGTATGTAATTCAAAAGGACTATTGCCAGAAAAGGTGGTAATATGTGGATTTCATGGTGAGAACAGAAGTGTTTCATTCTATAAGGTGAAAAGTGGTGAAATGTTGATAGAAGTAATAGAGGAATTCTCAGTTCCAGAAATACAGTTTATCCTTAGTAATGATATTGCTGGATCACAGGCAGGAGTGATGCCTACCCTGGTTGAAAAGCCATTGGAAAATCAGACAACTGAGATGTTACAGAAGTATATCCTGGCATTTTTTCTAACTTTGCGGTAACAAGGTCACAAAGCCACAGGCTGAAACAGGAGGAGAGATTAAGGAGTAAAAATAAGGAAGTTGAAGTTCAATTATCAGACACTACGTTTGATCAAATCGTTAAGAAAAAACAAGAGCAGTTGGAGGACAAAGCAGGCATTTTTTAATTCAGAGAAGTTAGTTGAAATACAGCAGAAAGATGAAAAAATAAAGCAGTTGTATCAAAAAGCATGCACAGAAGAATTTGAGTATATCCCAGAATGTTACAATCTTAAAAATGAAGTGATGGTGAGGTAATGGAGACCATCACATATTCAGACAAATGAAAAATGGACAGAAATCACAGAAACCCTACAGTGTGGAAGCAGGCCACCCGGCCCACCGAGTCCACACCGCACCACACCCCCCCACACCAACCACTGCTCCATATAGCATCTCACCCAGACCCTTACCCAATCCTGTAACCCTGCATTTTCCCCATGGCAAATCCAGCCAGCCTACACATCCCCAGACACTATGGGCAATTTAGCATGGCCAATCCACCTAATCTGCATATCCTTGGAGTGTGGGAGGAAACTGGAGCAACCAGAGGAAACCCATACACACATGGGGAGATTGTACAAACTCTACACAGATTGCTGCCCAAGTCTGGAATTGAACTGCGCTGTGAGGCAGCAGTGCTAACTGTTGCTAACAGCAACAGCAGTGCTAACAGCAGTGCATTAAGAGGGAAAAGAGGTATTGCGGGTAGCACATGAGTTACCAGTAGGAGGTCATTTGGGAGTATGGAAAACGTAAGCCAAAATACAAAAACATTTTCATTGGCCTGGACTGCATAGAGAAGTGGTTGAATTTTGCTGGCCATGTCACATGCAGTGATAAAACCAGCATCCTTAATATATTTCCCAGCATTTGAAGAACCTTTTGCAAGAGTCGTAATTGATTGCATAGGACCCCTATCTAAAACACCAAATACGAATCAGTATTTGTTGACCATGATGGATGTATCCACGACATTTCCAGAGGCCATTCCATTACTCAGTATCATGGCTAAAAGGATTGCAAAAGAGTTACGCAAGTTTTTTTTTACTAGATAGGACTATCCACAGAAATACAATGGGATCAACAGTCAAATTTTAGATCTAAGTTGTTCAAGGGAGTTATGGATCGGTTAGGAATAAAACAATTCAAATCCACTGAACACCATCCAGAAATCCAGGGACCATTAGTGTGTTGACATCAAATTTTAAAGACCATGTTGAGGGTTTACAGTCAAGACTAACCAGAGAATTGGGATAAAGGAATTCCATGTGTACTGTTTGCAATTAGGGATGCACCTAATGAATCAACTAAATTCAGTCCATTTGAATTAGTTTTTGGGCATGGGTTGAGAGAACAACTGAAATTAATTAAGGAGAAATTAGTGAGTCAGAATTCAGAGACTACATTTTTGGACTATGTGTCAAATTTTAGGGAGAGATTAAGACAGTGGATGAATTGACTTGATTGCCTTTAAAAATAGCACAGTATGTAATGAAATAGGAAGCAGACAAGAGATCAAAACTTCTTAATTTGTTTGCTGAAATAAATTGTTAGGGTTATTACCAGTGTTTAAATGTTTAAAGGCAAGGTTTAGTGGGTTTTATCAAATCAAAAAGAAATTGAGTGATGTGAATTATTTGATGAAAATGCCAGATAGAAGGAAAACTCAGTATGTCATGTGAATATGCTCAAATGATATTTTGATAGGGAAGGCAAGTGAAAGGAGAATGTGTTACTGGTTACAGGTTACTGTGTTAACTCAGAGTGAAGAACCAAAACCAGTTGATTCTGAATTTGACATTCTCAAATTAAATTGGCCAATGAGGAAGTTTTCAAAAATTGGGATAAATTATTGAGTCATGTCCTGAAAGAGTTATCACAATCACAAGGAGAGGTAAGTGGGAATAAGCTGAGAAGTACTAAACTGATTATGCATCAAGTAGATATAGGAAATGTTGTTCTAATTAAACAATATCCCGATAGGTTTAACCCTCTATAATTGGTACAGGTTCAAAAAGAGATTGAAAGCATGCTCAGAGATGACATAATCAAAGTGAGTTGCAGCAAATGGAGAACACCCATACTGGTGGTGCCAAAACCAGATGGTACACAATGATTATGTGTGAATTATCACAAAGTTAATGTAATTATAAATTACGATTATATCCTGTAGTGATTGGAACCAGGGCCAGGTGGATCCATTAACTATGAGATCGTTGATTGGAACCAGGGCCAGGTGGATCTCATTGACTATGAGATCATTGATTGAGGTTATTGACCTGGGCCAATCAGGGAGCCCCAGCTGACAGATATAAACAAGACATTCAGAAAGTCTCTTCAGTCTAGGGATTGGCTTTGAGCTGGCTGGTCAGAGCCCATGTATTGTGCATGTGTAAACAAAATGTGACTTGGTGATGGGATACCAGCCTCCGTGCAGTTATTTTAGAGGCGATGAGAGAAAACAGTATGTGCCTGAAGAAAATTTACTCACAATAATTGTCTTTAAGTTGGGGGTAATTATTTCTGGTAACATGCCTTTATTTGGGAAGCTTGACTTGTTTGATCCTGCTGTTAAAGACTGAGTCCAGTATGTGTAAAGTATATGATTTTTTTTTGGGAAATGACATTTGGGCAGCCAAAAAGCAATGAGTAATCCTTCTGACTGCTTGTGTACCTGCAGCATTTTTCATTAGTAGGAGCTTAACCTTCCCTGAGGCACCAGATGCTAAAACCATTCAAGAGTTGACAGATTTAATTAAGGAATATTACAACCCCAAACCTCCTCTAATTCTGAGATATCATCAGTTTTATTTGACCGTTCGAGAACTAAGGGAATCCATACTGGGATTTTTTGATGAGATTAAGATGACAGACAGAGGCGTATGATTTTGGGTTAACCCTGAATGAGATGCCAAGTGACTGTTTGGTATGTGGGATTAATTACATAACTGCGCAAAAACATCTAATACCTGAAGCCCAACTGGACTTCAAAGGAGCACTACAACTGGCTTTGTCACTAGACAATGCGGCAGGTGAAGCATGGCAACTACATGGCATCCCAATGGATGTGGACACCCTCACCTTTCTGACTAAACTTGGGGCACACCACTTAAGTGTAGCCCCACTCAGGGCATATCCTTTGCACAGGGAGCCTAGGTCAGCCCACTGCAAAACCCCACAATAAAGCTGAGCCTTGGCCAAATGGCTAAAATGTTCTTCAGGATCCAGGCTGGCAAGCTATTGTAGTCGCTGTCGGTATGAGGACTCAAGACAGCAAAGGAGTCCTGTGTGCCTTGACTTGAGTAAAAGAACTCATAGGCCAGTATCCAGGAGAGTGCATACCCTGGAATGTCCACCTACATGTGGGTTGTCCCAGTTAAATTGCTCAGCAACATCCAAATCAGAACTGATTAAAATAATTGTCAGGTTAAACGGTCACTCGGTTCTCATGGAGGTTGATACTGATGCAGATGTATCTGTGATTATTGAATCGGTCTTTAACAAGATTCACTCTGCACTCCAAACCTTAAGTTTGTACAAGACCTCAGCAAGACTGAAAACATACATTGGGGAACCACTGCACATTAAGGCTACGACCTCGGTTCCATTCTCCCAAGAGAAGAAGTCAGTGTTCGTTTTGTAACAAACCTCCGCTTTATTGTCAAAGCAAAACCTGCAGCATTGTGTGCTTACATTTCAGCAGAGACCACTTCACTGAAACCAAAACAAGTAAAAATATGATCTTTTAAGTCAGGTTCCTGTCTGGGATCATGAATGAATGTATACAATTAAGCAAGAATTGGAGGCATGGAAGACAGATGATCTAGTATGTGAGGCTGAAGCAGTTGCAATCAACATCAGTGGAAGTGCCAAATCAACGATCCTACCCAACTTTTTATTCAGTTTCTCACCATTACAGATGCCAGTCTTCACCAAAACGTTTACATTGAAAACTGAGAACCTGTCTGTCCTCTCAGGCCAATATAAAACATCCAATGGTACTACTTAAAGAACAGGATTGTGGTGTTCTCCCTTGAGTCTTAGCCAGTACTTATCCTTCAACAAATAACAAAATCAGATGATCTGATTGAACTAAATTACCCATTCCTATGCTGCATAATCTGTCTTGTATCTCATTGCTTTTTGTGGAATCTTGTTGAGCAAAACTACAAGCCACATTTCCAAATAAAACTACATTCTGAATGTTAAGTCCCCCGTAACTTTTACAGTTAATTTATTAAAAGCAATATTGGGATAGTTGAAATCCCATACCATTATTCCCCTTTAGTTTCTGCCCTTTTCAGCAATTTGTCTACATATCTGCTGTTTTATCTCCCTGTGACTGTTGCGAGGTATATAGGATATTTCCAACAGTGTGGTTTTAGTTTGACCATATAGCCTGGTTTGCTATGCCTTATAGTATATCATCCTTCATCACAGTTGTGATTCTTTCTTTGGTCAATACTGCAGCCCTTCCTCATTTTTTATCCCTTCCTCTATTCCGACTGAAAACTCTACCACCAAGAACTGCCATTAAGTCATATTTCAGAGATGTTTCATACTTATAAATGTCTATCAATGCCCTCAGGTCATCCAGTTAATCACTGGACTCCTTGCACTGAAGATATAACATTATTTATTGAAAAACTCCTTTGTTCTCTAGTTTTTAAGCTGTTGTTTCCACAATCTTCAATATTTCCTTACTAATTTTCTTGCGTCTATTTCCAACTTCTGTCTTCCTTCTGAATGTATGTTTAGGTTTCCATACCTCTTCTAAGCTAGTTTATTCCTCCTTAATAACACTAACAAACCTCTCCAACATGATACGGTCCCAGGTCTGTTGAGATGCAAGCCATCTGGCTTGTTCAGGTCCTATTTACCTCAGATCTAGTGCCAATGCCTCAGGAATCTATAACACTCTCTTTGCAGTGTTTCTTTATTATGCTGCTCTATCTTCCTATTTTCTGTTATGATGTGGGAATAATGCAGACTTACTACCTGCGAGGCCGTTGAATGATCTAGCTCACTGAAATCTTCTTTCAGGTTCTCATCCCTCTACCTAAGTTCTGAACAAAGGTCACTGACTTGAAATATTGAGCAACATCTTCTACTTTTTGATCTAAGTATGATGTCAGCAGCAAAACTGGGTCAGATGAACATCACCGTCAAAGCACAGTAAACAGAAATGCAGGAACAATGGCAAGGGGATCACAGAGAATTAGGGGTGTCAGAAGGAAGGACTTTTAGTGGCCATCCCTTGACCCTCATTTGTACACCCGATTGTCCATAGATTTTGCCCAATCCAGCAACAGGCCGCTGTAATGTAGTTGGGAAGGCTGCCACTGTTCATGCCTGATGGGATTGTGGTTAATTATGGCAGTATTGTGAAGAGACCCATAAGTGGTCATTAACTAACCTCTGAAGGACGTTAGTTGGTAGGAAGGTGACATGGCGTTCCTGCCCACAGCTTAATTCCTGAGGTATTGGATATGCATTGAGGATCTCCTTGACACCTAACTGCCCACTTACTGTCCCCTCCCAACACCTTTCTGCTACTTTTGGGAGGGGAAGATTGCACCCAATAATTTGATTTCACTCCAGGCTGTTGCCTTACCTGCTGAGTACTGCAAACGTTTTCTGTTTTCATTACTGCCCATTAACATTTAATCATTACAATACCATCCAAACAAAAGAATAAACTAGAATATTAATATCTGGACTTACTGTACCCCACCACAGGGAGTCTGCGTATGTCAAAAATTGAGAATTTGCCTCCTTCTCAGCCAGATAAACGAGGAAAGAAGAGAAAATGAGTATTAAGAACCCAATGTACCAGGCTGTAATCAGCTCCTGCAAGAGAAAGAAGAAAACATCTTACTAAATTGAACAAAACAATTAAGCAATAATTAATTCAGCCTCCCGATTCCTCAGTTGCTATGTACACAATCAGGTAAGTAACAAAGCCGTACTAAGTTCGCTGATTTTAGCTGGGAACTAGTATCACTTGTCCCAGACATGAAGAGATGCAATCAAATCAACAATTTGTGCTTCCACTTCTTGGTTAACTTCCACAGGAAAATGTCTGTGTTGGACTATGTATGAGAGCATAACCAAGCTTGAATTCAATTGGCCCTATCATAACAAACAACACTGAGTAATCATCTTCAAACCACATGCATGCATACTTCCTCACAGCTGGCTGTTTGTGTACGCTTCGTTATGGACCAGGCCAAACCCCCTCAAAATATGTCAAGGAAATAGCCTAGATCTTAACTTTTATCTTATTTAAAGGCAAGACTAAGGCACTGTGTTTCAGATTCTAGACTTTAACTCTCTTGAAATCCATAACAAAGTAATGTATTATTTAATTACTAGTCATTTGACTGTTCCAATATAGTAGCATCCCATAAACACCCCTTGGCAAAAGCAAATTCAGCAAAACAGGTAGCACATAAGAACAATCTCCAGTCCAGGAGCAAAGGACACCAAAAGAAACTATGTAGTAGATCACAGAAAATACAAGCTTTTTGGTGCAGCAGAGACAGAGCTGTGTGTATCAGCTTCAACTCCAGAAACCTAATTCCAACAGAAATCAAAATTAAAACCCTTGATCTGTGTGACCATGATTCCATTCACTCATGTTTCTTTTGTCTAATTTAAAAAAAAACACCCAAGGAGCTCAAAGCTGTTTACCCACTGCTTCTGAAGCAGCCATGTTGGCACTTTGGTGTCAAAACCCCTCTTCAAAAGAAACAGCACATAACAAATCTCTTTTAAAAAGCACAGTATCATTCCAGCTTATCAAGTTGAAGTAGCTTTTGCAGTGAACCTTCTAAACTTATTTCATAGAGGAACCAGCAAAGACACGAGACTTTCACCTCATTAACTGCTAGACACAGATTTTTGCAATGAAAGGATTATGCCTAACATGCTGTACCAGCCAGTACTCTGCTCCTAATTCTGTAGTGTAAAATGGGGGTGAATCTGCAGCTCATTATTACATTGTTCTATAGTTAGACAGTGATATTTTTGCAACTGTGTGTTAATATGTGGTCTGTGAACAATATATCTCAAAACAAAGAGATGGCTTCCAAGTAAGGTTCGGTATGTCACAAGGAAGAACTGATTAGTTTTTGGCAATGATGCAGGTCTGGATCCTGGAAATTTTTACAGGATCTGCTAACATTGAGACATGTTACAATGAGACATCAATGTTTTTTTGGAATGGTTTGGATTGTTTGATTTGGAATGTTGTTGACTTTGTCACAACTGTCAAAATATGAGCAGAGTTCTCAAAGCAGGTTGTTGGATAGGGATTGGCCTGAAGCCTTCTCAGTGAGATGGAAATTCTTATAAGAGGATTCATTTTTCAGCTTGATAGTTACTGCACATGAACCAGGCAGGGAAAGTCTTCAAGGGGAGGAGAGGTAAGGACTGATTATTGATAGTCAGCGCAGCTTTGTGTGTGGGAAATTGTGCCCACAAATTTGATTGAGTTTTTTGAGGATGAGGCCAAGAAGATAGATGAGGGCAGAGCGGTAGAGTTACGTACATGGACTTTAGCAAGGCCTTTGACAAGATTCTGCATGGTAGACTGGTTAGTAAAGTTAGAACACATGGGATTCAGGGAGAGCTAGCCAAATAGATAAAAACTGCCTTGACAGTAGGAGACAGAGGGTGGTGGTGGTGGGTTGTTACTCAGACTAGAGGCCTGTGACCAGCAGAGTTCTACAGGATTTGGTGCTGGATGCACTGTTGATGGTTATTTAGATAATTGATTTGGATGAAAATATAGGAAGCATTGTTAGTACGTTTGCGAATGACACCAATATTGGTGGTATCGTAGATGGTGAAGAAGGTCATCTACAGTACAAAGACATCTCGATCAACCAGGCCAATAGGCTGAGGAGTGACAGGTGGAGTTTAATTTGAATAAATGTGAAGTATTGCATTTTGGTAAAACAAACAAGGACAGGTCTTATTCAGATAATGGTAGGGCCTTGGGTAGTGTTGTCCAAAAGAGAGACCTAGGGAAAACAGAAAGAACTGTGGATGCTGTAAATCAGGAACAAAAACAGAAGTTGCTGGAAAAGCTCATCAGCTCTGGCAGGAACTGCGAAGAAAAAAATCAGAGTTAATGTTTCGGGTCCTGTGACCCTTCCTCAGAATCTGAGTGTGAGAGAGACCTAGAGGTTCAGGTACATAGTTCTTAGAAAATTGCATCACAAGTAGACAACAAGGTGCAGGGCTGGATGAACACAGCAGGCCAAGCAGCATCATAGGAGCAGAGAGGCTGACGTTTCGGGCCTAGACCCTTCATCAGAAAAGGGGGAGGGGAAGGGGGTTTTGAAATAAATAGG